TTGAAATACACATGACCTTGTTTCAGGTTTTTGTGTATATTTTTCAGATGTTAGAATTTTTTTTAATATCTTTTTTGGGTTTTTTTATGTGTAACCCATGCRAGATAAATATTTGGAATATTCATGAAGGTAGCGATTTAAAAAATAAATTATTAATACTGTGATGGTCCGGAAAATTACATGACTTGCATAGACACACTTTGGCTTTTAGTGCACTGGGCTGTAAATTATTTCTGTAGAAGTAGGTTGATTTTTTTCCTTTTGCTTCTATGCCATGATGGTTTCCCTGTGAATCCTAGTAGACTGATGGAGATACAACTATCAAAGCAATTTTTATTTCTTGAGTTTGCTATGAATTTCAGTGACAAATTGAAAAAGGAAGAAACAAATTTAGGACTGTCTTTTCCTAMTTTTGTATACTCAGAAAATAAGTAAAATGAGATTCAGAAATGTATGGGAAAAGGATCTGGATTTGTTCTCTGTGCTGATAAATAAGAAATACTGTGACAGAAGCAGTGAATTAAAACATTCATCATCATAGAAAAATTCATTTCACTGCAGTTGGTTTTAATGTTGTCTGTGATCTTTGAGCTACACTTTTCTTTCCCTCTCTCTCTTTTTTCCTTTTATTTTTTTTTCGTAACTTCATGATATACTTGATATGTCTTCTGTTTCTAGTTTGTCTATGGTGGCAGGAATCATTTTGGCCAGAAAACTACATTATAAGAATTTATTCTAGAAACTGGAAGAAAGGTATCAACAATCTGACCAATCTATATATTTGAGGGGAAGGAGCATAAAGAAAGAATGCAGCATTCTTTTCTGCTTTCAGCTGTGAGTTCTGGCTAGCTCAAGTGTCTTCTCAGTACAATAAAAAGAGAGAGGAAGAGATGAATAGGAAGGAGTGAGAATATTTGTTGTCTTTGGTTGTGGTCAGCACCCTTGCTTGGGGACGTTGGTAGAGTTAGGAATGGGGCAGATCATCTGCCTCCTGTAGAAGTCGGATCTGTTTTAACAAATTCACTTTCTCTTCAGAAATTGTGGAGTGTTTTACAGTACTCTTTTGCCRTCCCATCCCCATCTAGATTCTTGCAGTTTAGGTAGTCACTCAGTCTGCATGAGCCAAGGTTTCTGGAGGATTACAAAAGATACAGCTGTTTTCACTTGTTGTTTAATGTGCATGGGTTTAATGTCAATTGCAAAATTTACCAACATTTTTYGTTTTTCTGTTCAGACATTGGTGATTCTTTATTTGAGCATCACTGTAAGGTTCCTTCTCTTTTGTCTACTCTAGCTGCAAAATTCTTATTCTCCTTTCTCAATTCAAAATGAAGCACAGATTTAATGCTGCCTTGTAATACAAAAAAGTTGAGATAAGGAGAACCTTCTCCTGCTGCAGTTGTTAGGGACCTTATGAAAAATTATAGGGGCAAAATATATATTGTGCTCATGCTGTGTAACAAGAACAAATGAGAGTTTACTTGGAGACAGGAAAGTGAGAAAACATGCAGTTGAAGTTGAAAACTCTAAATTTTCAATCTCATTTGATTTTTTTTTTTCTTTCCAATACCACTTCTGAGACAAATGGTGTTTGCTGCCTGATTACATTTTCTTTCTGCCTCACTGTTRGCTGTTAGGCTCAGAGCTGTGAGGTCTTCCCTGTTGATGTAGGGAGGGAGTGAGGAAAAGGCCACTTTCAGAAAGCCTGGTTTCTTGATTGCTTGACTATAGTGAAGGTAACAGGAGAAGCTTTACAAACTGAAAGAACAGATTGATGGCAGAACTCCAGCGTTTTGTCCCTCGCTATCTCTGTTTTTTCTGTGAGCTACAAAGCTGGAGGATCTGACAGAGCATTGAGATAGGGAGTGTGAGACCCAATTTTGTGTTTCTCAAGGGATACCCAATTCTTGAACCAACATGCAACTCTGGAAAAAAGAAATGTATCAAGCTAATGTGGTAGAGATGATATTTTGGGAAGACTGTAACTTACACTCTTGGTCAGTGCCCTTGTTTAGTTAACTCATCCACCTCTTCACCATTAATTCAGATACTGCTGTGAGTATAAAGAAGCACATAGGCTCAGCAGAGAGGCGTGCTTCGTTTTTTAGGGTTGTTCTCGTCTATTCCTCTTCTCTCTCTTTCTCCCCTCCCCCCTGAAAAAGCACTGAAGTTGCAAGCTTATAGGAAATTGAGCTCATGAAAAAAAATCCCTCCTGCTGTGGGCATCAAATGAAGGCGTTAAGTGAACATGGACAGACCTATGCAGACAGGGGCTATAACAGGTTTCCCTTGCTTCTGCAGTATAAAGCCAAGTTCTCCTTGTACCTATGATTATGAAAACTGGACACTTGGAGATGCRGAACCTTTCTTGTTTCACACTGAGAAAGTTTCTACCAGCCACTGCTATACTGTCTAAATTTCATCAGTTAAAACGTATGACTTGGTATCCTCAGTTTCTTTTATTGTTAAACACATTTCTATGATGTTGGTCTATGGGCTGACTTGCTTTGCTGAGGTTTAAGGAATTTTTGGGAGTTAGCTCCTTTTTGACTGCATAATAAAATTGTGACACTAATTTTGAGAGAGGTATATAATGTTTTTTATAAGTTTGTACATGAATTTCATGCATTTTTGGATATTTTGAAAAGTACCAAAAAAAGTGCAGGAAAGTAGTGCCTTTCCTAGAACTTCTTTGAAGATTTGCTTATAAAGTCTTGTAAAATTGTTTTAGCTACTTGCTGAGAAAAAAATTGGTTCTTTCTCAGAGTGGTATGAGAAAAAAATCACCACCCTCTCTGTTAATTATGAGACCTCCCTTACAAMTTTATTAAGCAGAGTGGATTGATACTCTCTGATCAGCAGAACCTTTGATTTTTTTCAGGAAAAGTTAAGTTTGATTTTYTAGATATTGTTAATTTTTCCTTTGGCTAATAAAGCTTTACATTATTATGTTAATAAGATAGATATCTACCATTAGGAAAGAACAACAACATTTCTGTGTAAGATACAAAGGTGATAGAAAAATGTAATTTGGGTGGTAGTRGCTTGAAAACAAGCATACTAACATATGGCTTTAAGTAGCAAATTCTTTAATTTCAACAGTCAAATGGAAACCTACYTTTCAGAGGCCTGTTACCTCTGAGATAAATAGTACTTACATAACATTTAATACTCAATCACAACAAGCTTTATTAGCAGCATTAAAACTTGAAGGGTAGAAATTGCTACATAACTGTAACATTTAACCTTGAAAGGTATTCAGAAGTCTCTAGCAGTAAAGATACTAACTTTTAATTTAATTCCTCGTTGGGGAATGCTTTGGTTTTAGATAGTGAAATCTTAAGTGGTGAACAAAAAACCCACACACACCATGTAGCRACTTTGGTCTCAAGATGCTTGATGTGAATTTGCCTGTATAGTTCAARGCTTCTATGTCTATTCTTCTTAGTAAGATGACTGTCAAGATGGTGTTTCCTTTGGCTCAATATTGTTCATCTTTTTGTCCAGAATGGCTTCTCAGGTGTATTTAGATTATATTTAACATCCATTAGCTTCCTTTTTTTTTTTTTTTTTTTTTTTTTTTTTTTTTTTTTTTTTTTTTTTTTTTTTTTTTTTTTTTTTTTTTTTTTTTTCCATCCTGTGGCATGGCTTAGTTTAACTATTTCTGACTGCCTATAGATGTGCTTTGGAGACCTGGTGCCTTGTGATCTAAACTAGTTTCCAACTGGCTTCAAGTGCACTTTAAAGTGCTGTGCAAGTTAATTGCATCAAGTCTGAACTAGACAACTTTCTTGACTCTTTTTTTGGGTATGGGTGGGGGCAGGAGCTGTTGAGTTCAGCAGGAGTCCTGAACTAAGAGCCTCCTCTAATGGCATGCATTGATGATAATCAATTATAATGGAGAGGGTCCCATGTTATAAGATATAAATGTGATTGTAACTAACCTGCTAAACAAACAAATTTAGGCTAGACAAACAAATGAGTTTAAAACTAATTATTTTCAGAAGATTTGAAGTAAATACCAGTGGGGACTAATGAAATCTAATCATTATAAACTTTTGTTGGACCTTTGTGTGCTTATTTTTGTCTCACTTCATTAAATTGGAAAAAATAGTTATACTACACTTTTAAAGCAAYGCAGCAAAATACAGTGCCACATAGACAACAGTATTTATTTAGTYTAGTTAATATTTTTTTCAATAAATACGAATAATGTTAAGATTAAACRTTATTATTGCATATCTTGTTGTTACAGCATTATGATTTGTTTTTAATTTTACTGAATGAAGAGTAAGCAGAAGTGATGAGAGTATAAGAGTTATATATGACTTTATGTTGAATGGTAAACGTCTTATTAAGAGCCAAATTTTACCTTAATTAAAAATGTTAATTTTTATGTTCCCCATATGTTAATTCCAATAATTCTTAATTATGTTCCCCAGCATTATTAGTGATTTCAACAGGATCACTGAGTTGTAATTTCCAAATTTGTTATACTCAGTATTATGCTGACCATCCTTTTRTCCTATTCTTTGGTAATCTTTCTTTTCAACTTCCAGTGATTTCTTTTAAGTTGGAAAGTGTCACCAAACAGTACRGGGGTTGTATCTACCAGTTTTACTAGAAAGGTGGMYACTCTTCTGAAATTTCAGTTTCTGRCTCAACCAAGGAGCTCAGTAGAAAGAAAACTGAAGTTACTTCTGAAATAATCTTGGCCAATAATATTAGGAGTAGTTTATAACAAAACAAATGCCTTTCAGTGAGCACACTTAAAATTTTATCAAGAAGAAGGAAACTGTAGATATTTTATCTGCAGATCACCARGTTTTAGCTTACTGGTCTTACTTGTGAAGTGGAAAATTGAAAAGGAATGTTTCTTTGACCATAGTAAGTTTAATAATCTACAAGAGTTTCTAAATTACCACAAATTACTTCAAATAATTAGTCATAAAAGTATGATGCTACATAACTAAACTATTTTTATTTTTGCTTCTTTTAGTGTCAGTTGTGATAATGACAACTGAAGTTGGTTCAGAGACTGAAGTAAAGAAAGATTCTGAGCAGCTGGGACCAGACAAAGCCAAGGACAAGCCTGAAGAAGCATCAGAGACTCCAGAAAATCAAAAGTCCAGGGAAACATCCTCTGGAGAAGCTCAAGATTCTTCTGTCCCAGCACCAACTAGCCAAAGTAGTCCAACTAGCCAGAAGAAGGAAAAGTCTTCACCTGAAAGCAAGGGTATTTCTCGTTTCCTTCCCCCTTGGCTTAAGAAACAGAAATCATACACCTTGGCAGAGCCCAAAGATGAGCCCAAGAAAAAGGCCAGAGGGGAAGAGCAAGTAGTTGAAGAAAGTGAAAGTCAGACACCAGAAGGGGTRGCTCAGCCAAGAAAGAGCTTGGAAGAAGCAGCTGAAAACCAGCAGAATGCTGAAGCAGACAATAAAGAAAAACACTCCRTCAGTAGTGCTGAAATACAGGTACGTGTGGGAAGGCTCATAGATATTTTGGAGTAATTKTAATGAAACCTGAATCATGAATTATTTAATTTATCTAAAGCTTTGTTGGTATCATACTGGGGAAATAATGACAGCTATTCCAGTTGCTAGGCTCCAGTCTTGCTTTTTGTGAGGCTGCACTGCATGTTAGTTCTTAACATTCAAACTTCATATTCTAGGGTGGTGAAGGCATATAGAGAATGTTTTTTATGGGGAGGAGCTGAGACAGGTGGCACTGGTGAGCGTGGGGAAGAGAAGGATGAAGGGGAATCTGAGCAGTGTGTATTAATACCTGAGTGGAGAGAAGGAAGAGAAGACAAGACCCTTCTCAGTGGTACACAGATGACAAAAGGCAAAGGACCCAAATAAAAACCATGAAATTACACTTCAAATCGCAAGAAAATCTTTTTTATTTTATTGGTGATAGCACCTTTCCTTGGCAAGGGATGTAGCCAGGTGGTGGTGGTGCAGATGAGAGGCCTCCTAAGATGGTRAAGGGGTGAGTTAGRCACTGAAACWGGTTGCMCAGAGATGTTGTGGAGTCTTCCCCTATGAAGATATGCAAAATGCAGCTGGATGTAGTCCAGGGCAAACTGCCCTCTGTGGCCCTAAGGGCATTGGACTAGATCTCAAGAGACCCCTTCCAACCATTCTRTGATTCTGTATCACTTGGCTTTCATAAACACTCGAGTTTAGTTTACTATAATTCCTGGAGCTTCTTAATAAATTTGTTTCTCTTAGGAAGAGAGCCAGTAACACATTTWAAGAAAAAAACAAACCTCATTTCAAGGAAAGGGAAAAAAGGCAACTTCCATGGTTTGAGAGCAAGAATATCTGGTCCCTAAAAGAAGACCTTAAYGCTTATGCTGCTTATTGTGCTTCCAGTATGTGCATAACTTCAGTGAAGGCTTAATGTCTTATTTATTCGAGCTTTTTAAAGGAATGAACAAGTTAAAAATGTCCTCCTTCCTGTGTTTAACTATTTTAATATAGCCTCCCAAAGAAGATGGTAAAGAAACAGAAGTAGAGGAAGTTGCAGAAAAAAATGAAGCAAAAGAAGAAGAAAAAGAAAAAAGAGAGACAAAAGAAGTGCAGACAGCTGAAATTAAAACAGATAACATTCCTCAGAAGTCTCCAAAGAAAATCAAAACTCTGCAGTGTAAGGTGATGCTTCTGGATGGCACAGAATACACCTGTGACCTAGAGGTAAGGCATCAAGTCTTTATATAAAGATCTTCTTCTATAGGGAAAACTTGCTTTCATTATACTGAGTGTTTATTGCTTGGGCTGAATGGAAAATAGTTTCCTGGGTTTTATAGCTTTAATATCTTTGGAATATTGATGTGTGTCCAAGTTCGAAGTCGAATAGTAGTTTTTTAATATTTTACATGTCTATTCTGTATTTTATAGAAGACCATCTGTTTGCTTGAAATGGGGGGAAAACAGTTGTTCTGAACCCCACTTTCAAACAAACGTAGGTGTTACATTTTGCATGATGTAAGCAACTGATTTGTGGGGGTGCTCAGGCTGAATGTCTGAGTTCTGAAGAGCAGTTGAAATCTTGTGGCTTTTTGAAAACTAGGCATCTAGGTATGTCTTTCATATTGATCTAAGGATGAAACAGTGGCAATTTTGTGACATTCCCTAGATCCAGCTGATTGAAAATATTTCTATTTTTGTCTAACATATATTGTTCAATTTTTGATATGGTACACACATTACAAGTCATATGGTAATGCAGGCTTCTGCTTGAAGCCTTTTGTCTGCTCTTGTGCTGTTTCATTTTTCCAATGTCCATCAGTCAGTTCCTACACTGTTTGACTGTGGATTTCATTAGGCTTATTGGTATTTTAATTGCTTGTATACAAGTCCTTTCGCATTCTGTGATACAGCACTGGATGGGTACCACTCACCTGTCATTCCAGATCTTGCAATACTAAAAGACTAAAAAAATGCCTATTTTTAAGTCTTTTAGAAGCTTTATCACAACTTAAATCTTATTTTATGCATTAGTGCAACTGCTTTTCAAACCCATTCTCTAATAACACTCATATCAGCTAAAAAATTCCTATTTGTTGTTTATCGATGTGAAATACTTCTTGGAATTGTTTTGCTGCAGTTTGATGAAAGTTTTAAAGTTTGTGTTTTGCAGTTGTTAGTAATACAAGCTTTCTAAGATCTCAATTTTAAAATTTCTATTCTTGATGTTAAAACCAAGCAATTTCAGTATATGTTTGTTAATGTATGGTATTTAGTCCTACATGAATCTTTCCCTGATCGTGTCAGATGTAGACCACTTCACCACAAATCAGGCTGACAGTAAAAAGCAATAGCAAAGCCTTCATAACTGTTAGTTAGTTTTGTTTTTTATTATGCTGTGTTTCAATAAGAAAAAATTTTATTGACATAAGCAAAACAAGAGCATGAAAAATATACTACCAAATAATTGCTCTCCACAACATATTGCATAGGGCTGTGCATATTTATAGTCTAAAGTTGCAGGAATTCTTTCACCAGAAGTTCTTGAAAAGTATTTCTATTTGTTTCTTTGTATCAATATGTATGGAGAAAACAAAAATTGACCACATGGTAGTAACTCTGGAATAATTGTTGATTTGGGATTTTTTTCCCACATTAATCAGGATGTTTAGATCTGAATGGTATCTCTTTTTTAATTTAAGGCTATATAAGTTTTATCTTCCTGGGCTTTTTCCCCATCCTAAAATGAGACTTAAATGAAGTGATGGCTTACTGCATATCTAAGAATATACCATTTTGTGTTTATAACTAAAAAATTCGGTGGTATTTTAAGTCTGTCACGATTCAGCTAAGTGATTTGACATGAATAAGTTTTCTCATTATTTGCAGTAGGAGTTTGCAGTAAGAACAATAGTAAAATTAATCTAAGAGGGGAAAAAGTGTTGAAGAAACAATTTGTTTTATATGTTCATTAGAATTATTTATAGGACATGAGCAGTGCTGACTCCAATTTTATAGATGAATTCATGTTCTTAAATACATGTAGAGTTTTTTATGCTCTGCTATCATATCAAAATACTTAAAGTCTCAGAAAGCTAAATCAACTAATAACTGAAATTTCAGTTTGTGCATTTTGCAAAGGATCCTGGTTGGTTTCTGATACTCTTCTAGTCTTCCTTCAATATTTAGTTTTTGGGTAAATGTTGCTTTATTTCTGTTTCACAAAGTTGCTGAAATAATACAAGAATTTAAAAAAATAAAATAAAAAAGGAAAGAAATTTAAAACAAACAAAATTTCCACAGTCAAAGACCGGTTTACCTTGTTTGACTTTCTAGTAAATCAGGTTTTAGTTTGGGGCAATTGTCATGATTTTAACATTCCTGATGCTTCTCCCAGTTTACTATAGACTATARACCAACTTCTTTATATTTTAAATATATATACATGCTAATGGTGAAGTAAAACTGMAAAATACCTTGTTTTCATTACTGTTATTTGACGTCTTTTGGTAGAATCCTGTCTTTTTCTAATTTCTATTCTAAAACCTTCCTCATAATCAGTAATAAAATCTGAGCTAATACA